CTCCACATTTTTTTCTCCAACTCCCCCCCTCGTCTATTCGTCTTTCTCTTGCTAATTTCCAGAACTACTCTCTTTTGTCCTTTCTCTCATTTTCTACTCTCTCTCTCTCTCTCTCTCTCTCTCTCTACTCTCTCTCTCTCTCTCTCTCTCTCTCTCTCTCTCTCTCTCTCTCTCTCTCTCTCTCTCTCTCTCTCTCTCTCTCTCCCTCTCTCTCCTCTCTCTCTCTCTCTCTCTCTCTCTCTCTCTCTCTCTCTCTCTCTCTCTCTCCTCTCTCTCTTCTCTTCTCTCTGATCTGTCTCTCCCTCCCTCCCTCTCCTCCCCCCTTTTTTCTATCCAACTTCCCTTTAGTCTCTCTCTCTCTCTCTCTCTCTTCTCTCTCTCTCTCTCTCTCTCTCTCCTCTCTCTCTCTCTCTCTCTCTCTCCTCTCTCTCTCTACTCTCGCTCTCTCTCTATCTCTCTTTTTTCATGACTGTCTCTCCCTCCCTCCCTCCTCCCCCTCCCCCTTTCTCTATCCAACTTCCCATTACTCTCTCTCTCTCTCTCTCTCTCTCTCTCTCTCTCTCTCTCTCTCTCTCTCTCTCTCTCTCTCTCTCTACTCTCTCTCTCTCTCTCTCTATCTTCAGTGTCTGTCTTTCTCCCCTCCCTCCCCCCTCCCTCCCTCCCCTTTCTCTATCCAACTTCCTTCTCTTCTCTCTCTCTCTCTCTCTCTCTCTCTCTCTCTCTCTCTCTCTCTCTCTCTCTCTCTCTCTCTCTCTCTCTCCTCTCTCTCTACTCTCTCTCCCTCATGATCCCTGTGTCTCCCTCACCCCCTTTTCTCCTCCCCCACCTTCCCCCTTCGTCCTCCTTCTCCCTTCTCTCTCTTCTCATTTCCCCTTTCCCTACCCTCCCTCTCTCTGCCTTCTCATCTCCTGCCTTCCCCCCTCCCCCCCCCTCCCCACCCCCTCCCTCTGTCATGCGCATTACTGCGCCTTACAGTGACTGGCTGGAAATACCCTGTTGAGGACCTATGCGTGATTTAAAATGTCTGGAAAGGCCAATGAGCATTTCCCCGTGGACGTTGCATCTAGTTTACACACCACGTGGGCCGGCGCCCGAGAGCAGGGGCGCCGGAAGTGATACTGTGTGTGTGTGCGTGTGGGTGTGTTGTTTGGGTGTAAGTGTGTGTGGGGGGGGTTGTAAGTGTGTTGTGTGTGTGTTTGTTAGGGCGCTCGTGCGTGGGAAGTGTAGGCGTAGGTGATGATAGGAAGTCACGTGACGCGAGCCAGCCAGGTTGTTCTACGAGGTTTCCCCTTCGGCCGTATAGATATCGATCGGGACTCTGAATGGGGGAATGTGTGTGTGTGTGCGGGCCGTAGAATCTCCGTCGAGTCTCTCTCTCCCTTTCCTCTCCAGCTCTCCCTCTAATCTGTCATCTCTTCTCTCTCTCTCTCCTCTCGTATCTATTCTATCTAATCTAATCTATCTATCTATCTGTCTCCTCCCTCGACTCTACTCACTGCTTTCTCTCTCTCTCTCTCTCTCCCTCTCCTCTCCCCCCTCTATCTTTTCTCTCTCTCACTCCCTTTCTCCCTTCCATCCCATCCCACCCTCCCCTCTCCCTCTCTCTCTCTCCTCTCTCTCTCTCTCTCTCTCTCTTCTCTCTCTCTCTCTCTCTTCTCTTCCTCTCTCTCTCTCTCTCTCACACACACACACACACACACACAACACACACACACACACCACACACACACCACACACACACACACACCACACACACACACACACACACACATCACACACACACAGTTCTATGTTATCTGTATGTGTATGTATGTATATATATTGTAACATTTTCTATGGAGACGCTCTTATAGCGTGTGGCGTCGGTATCCTGTGGGGGAGGGAGAGAGGGAGTAGGATTCCTCCCCCCTCCCCCCCCTCCCCCTCCCCCCTCATAGAAACAAAGCCGAAAGTAAACAGAACTCGAGAAAAGAGGAAAACCGGGCGAGAGAAAGAAGATCCTATAGTGAGTTTTCGCCGAAGACGCGCGGCCGTTGCTCTTGTTGTCGTCGTCATTGTTGTTATATATTCTATCATTTGTTTTCGTTGTTTGTTCCGATAGGTTTTTCTGTTTTGGTCAATGGTGGTTTTCTCATGGTTGTCTCCATTAGCATTATTGTTGGTAACAGTATTATGCGGTTGGGGTGGGTACCATTTTTGTTATTAGTTGTTTATATGGCTGAAGTGTATGCCTTTTGTCATGAAACGAATTCAGTGGAACCAGTATATCGAATTATATATCTTTTTTGCGAATGTTTTTATTTTATATTATTATTATTATTATCATTATCATCATCATTATCATCATTATCATCATCATCCATCATCATCATCATTCCATCATCAATCATCATCACATCATCATCATCCATCATCATCATCATCATATTGTTTGATTTTTGTTTGTATCCTTTTTTTACTTTTCTTTCGTTAATTAGATTTTCTCTCTCTCACCGCGCAGACAAATGGGGCGCGGAGCATAACAGGAGACGTTGCGGGCGGTCGTGGGCGTGCCCGAAGATGTACACACCGTACTGGAAATCATGAACTCCCTCTCGTCGAACGATGGTACGTATTCGGTGTGACCTTTGACCTGTGAATTAGTATTTGTTTTTTTTAAGACTTACTACTTAAGCTCCCTTCTCTCTCTCTCTCTCTCTCTCTCTCTCTCTCTCTCTCTCTCTCTCTCTCTCTCTCTCTCTCTCTCTCTCTCTCCTCTCTCTCTCTCTCTCTCTCTCTCTCTCTCTCTCTCTCTCTTCTCCTCTCTCTTCTCTTCTATCTCTCTCTCGCCCTCTACCTCTTCTCTCTCTGCCTCTCTCTCTCGCCCTCTCTCTCTTCTCTCTCTCTCTCTCTCTCTCTCTCTCTCCTCTCTCTCTCTCTCTCTCTCTCTCTCTCTCTCTCTCTCTCTCTCTCTCTCTCTCTCTCTCTCTCTCTCTCTCTCTCTCTCTCTCTCTCTCTGCCCTTTTCCCGTATCGGTTTTTTCTTCCTCTTATTGTTTTCTTTCTCTCTTTGTTTCTCTGATGTCTCTTTTTCTCTCTCTTCTTCGTTTCTGTGCAATTTCTTTTTCCCTTTCTTCTCGTTATATCTTTACGTCTCTGTCCTTCAACTCCACTTCCTTTTCCTTCTCTCAGTGGCTCGCCTCTAAAGGAAAGGGAGGGAGAGGGAGGGAGGGGGAAAGGGAGAGAAGAGAAAGAGAGAGAGAGAGGAAGGAGGGAGAAGGGAAAGAGAGAGAGGAAGGAGGGAGGGGAGGGAGGGAGGGAAAGGAAGAAGTGTTGGCAGATTCGGTGAATGTGTATGGTGATGTTTGATTTCCGTTTATCCGTCTCGTTTCTTTGGCCGTCCGTTTTTCCGCGTCGGTCTCGTGTGGTGGAATCTCGTAGCGTGTCATTCATTCGCGGATTTATATCACTTTTTTTTTTCCTTGTTCCATGTTTCGTTGTCTAGTCGTTGCTTGTAACGTGTATTTCCGTGTACTTCCGCGATTCAGGCGCTGGGACAACGCGTGGGACAGGGTTGTAGGGAAAGCGAGTCCACCGGTAGATCGTTGCCAACAGATCATCATCCACTGTAGAATGGGTGAGGATTCCCCCGTCTGTGCCATCGGAGGGCGGGGGACGGGGTGGAGTGGGTGTGGGGGGTGAGGGTGGGGCAAGGGTGTGGACGGTCCCCGGACGTGTGAATCGAGTACATGCGATAGGCAGTACAGTTCGTTTGCACACGGAGCGATAGACTGGTAGGTGAAGATTTAGTTCCGCGAAAAAAGAAAAAGAAAGAAATGTTGGTTCGAACGGCACTTTTGGGGGGTTTAATTTTTAAGATTTATTAGATTTAATTCATGATAAGAGGAGGAGGAGGAGGTGGCGCAGAGCGTATGTAGCATATATAAATTAAGTGCGTATGCATTTATCTTAAGCTTAGATATAAAATTTCACATTCCTGTATACATGTATGCATCATATTTTTGTATCGGAATATGAATATGTATGTATATGCGTGAGTGTGTGTGTATGTGCGTGCGTATGTATGCATGTGCTTGTGTTTAAGAGTGTGTACGCCTAAAGTGTTCATATATGTATGTGTGGATAAGTACACAAAAAAAATTCTGCTGTCATATAGGCCTATCAGTACCACCCTTTTTCGCATTGGGAGTACAGGAGCGGAAGCAGACCCACGATGGCTGTTGGCCTGTGGGCGTGGGTATTTCTACCCTGTATTTCCCTTTATTTCCGCATACGAGGATTTGACTGATTGGGAGGAGGGGGGAGGGGGAGAGGGAGGTCGCGAGTAGATGTAGGGAAAGGGAGGGGGTGGGTCTAGGGAGATGAATATTTCGCGCTGTATGGACAGTTGATGGGGAAACGAGTGGTATTTTTGCTCAGTCATGTCTCCGTCGTTTGCGAAATTGGGTATGGGTGTGTTAAAGAATATGAGTGAAAGGGGTAGAGAGAGAGAGAGAGAGAGAGAGAGAGAGAGAGAGAGAGAGAGAGAGAGAGAGAGAAAGAGAGAGAGAGAGAGAGAGAGAGAGCGAGAGAGAAGAGAGAGAAGAGAGAGAGAGAGAGAGAGGACAGAAAGAGAGTGAGAAAGAGAGAAGAGAGTTGAGGGAGAGAAGAGAGAGAGAAGAAGGGAGAGAGAGAGCGAGAGAGAAGAGAGAGAGAGAGAGAAGAGAGGAAGAGAGAAGAGAGAGAGAGAGAGAGAGAGAGAGAGAGAGAGAGAGAGAGAATGGGGAGAGAGAGAGAGAGAGAGAGAGAGAAGGGAGAGAGAAGCGAGAGAGAAGAAGGGAGAGAAAGAGAGAGAGTGAGTGAGTGAGTGAGTGAAAAGGGAGATAGAGAGAGAGAAGAAAGAGAGAGAGAGAGAGAGAGAGAAGAGAGAGAGAGAGAGAGAGAGAGAGAGAGAGAGAGATGTGTGTGTGTGTGTGTGTGTGTGTGTGTGTGTGTGTGAGAGAGAGAGAGAGAGAGAGAGAGAGAGAGAGAGAGAAGAGAGAGAGAGAGAGAGAGAGAGAGAGAGAGAGAGAGAGTAAAATCAGCAGACGAAGTTTGTTGTTGTTGTTGGAAGGCTCCCCCCCCTCCCCCTCCCCGCCCCTCCCTCCTTTTTGTGATGTGTTGTATTGTTTTTGTTTTTGTATTCGTAGGTGTTGGTGAGGCAGTCTCGGACACAGCCGTAAGTTGGGACTTACTTGAGGGTAAGTTGTGCGGGCGCGACGCTAGGGGGAACAGGAGGAGGAGGAGAAGGGAGAGGAGAGAGGAGGGAGACGGGTTGGCCGGAAGGCTGCCCCGCCCGCGGCCTGGGGGTGGCCGCGGGCGTGGGCGGACCCCGGTGGCCGCTGGTCCCTCGTGTGGTCTTTCTTTTTTTTTGTCATCTTGGTACTTACAGCTATTAAGAGTTTCCTATCACCTTGCTGTTGATTTTCTTCGTCATTTGCAAACACAGACGCAGACACTTGTATTCATTAATTGCTTTACTTCGCTGACTTTGTTTTGTGAGTTTTATGGTTTGTTTATTATTTATTCCTTTTATTTGGCTTTACTTTGCTGTGATTGAGTTATAATTATTTTTCCCTGTTATTCGAATAATATAATTATTATTAGTTTGCATGTGCGTGCTCTGACTTATTTTTACTGAATAAGGACATTAGGAAATTATTAAAAAGATACGAGCTGAAAATGAGAAGTAATACTTTCACGAAAATTAAATTAATAGAAAATAGATGAAAGACATTCATGTAAATTCCTCACTTGCTTTTTTTCGGAATTTTTGATTGAGTTTCAGATTCACCAGAACGTGAGAATGATGCGGTTCATAATAATAATAATAATACAGACGAGTTACTGAGTAAACACACTTCGTAATTAAAGTTCACTCTTGTCCATATATTAAAGAATCAATTTTGCATGTGAGAAGAAGCTAAAAAAAAAAAAAAAAGACGGACCTTTTATCTTGCTTTATTAAGTCGAGCTTGTGCTTCCTATGCCGAGTTTTAACCCTTTTTTTTTTTACTTCGCATCAAGTTGACCCACGCTTGGTTTTGCTCTGGCATTATGCAAGGCTAGGTATTCGTATGGCTTGGATTATTATTATTCTCTCTCCTTCTCTCCTCTCCTCTCTTCTCTTCTCTCTCTCTTCTCTTTTGTCTTTGTCCTCTTCTTCTCTCTCTCTCTCTCTCTCTTCTCTCTCTTCTCTCTTCTCTCTCGTCTCTCTCTCTCTCTCTCTCTCTCTCTCTCTCTCTCTCTCTCTCTCTCTCTCTCTCTCTCTCTCTCTCTCTCTCTCTCTCTCTCTCTCTCTCTCTCCTCTCTCTCTCTCCCTCTCTCCCTCTCTCCTCCTCTCTCTCTCTCCTCTCTCTCTCTCTCCTCTCTCTCTCTCTCTCTCTCTCTCTCTTCTCTCTCTCTCTCTCTCTCTCTCTCTCTCTCTCTCTCTCTCTCTCTCTCTCTCTCTCTCTCTCCTCTCTCCCTCTCTTCTCTCTCTCTCTCTCTCTCTCTCTCTCTCTCTCTCTCTCTCTCTCTCTCTCTCTCTCTCTCCTCTCTCTCTCTCTCTCTCTCTCTCTCCTCTCTCTCTCTCTCTCTCTCTCTTCTCTCTCTCCTCTCCCTCTCCCTCTCTCTCCCTCCCTCCTCTCCCTCCCTCTCTCTCCCTCTCCTCCCTCCACTCTCTCTCTCTCTCTCCTCCTCTCTCTCTCTCTCCCTCTCTCTCTCTCTCTCTCCTCTCTCTCTCTCTCTCTCTCTCTCTCCTCTCTCTCTCTTCTCTCTTTCTCTTTCTCTCCCTCCTCTCCCTCTCCCCTCCCCTCACTCTCCCTCTCCGCCTTTCCCTCTCCATCCCTCCATCCATCCAACCCTCACCTTTTCCCTTTCCTACTTCTCTCTTTCCTACTCTTCCTCTCACTCTCCATGCATTTATTTTTTATTTGTTTGTTTTTATACTATACATTATCATATCGTTATCATATTTTTCATCATTAGCATTAGCGGTAATGATTGTAATGTTAGTCTTAAGTATTGATTATTATTATTACTATCATCATCATTGGTATTATTTTAATGATTTGTAAATACATATTTTTTTATCCATTACCATCGTTATCATTACTATTGTTACAATTACCATTATTATTATTACTTATGTTGTCATCATTATTTTTGTTATTATTTTTGTTATTTTTGTTATTATTTTGGTTGATTTTTATTACTATTATTATGCCTTGTTACTTGAAGGGAGCCCCAGGTAAGCGTAAAAGTAGCGAAGCCTTTCAAGGTGTGACCAGGTGACAGTGACGAAATAGTAGCTCTCTCAAAGTAAGTTAGTCTCCTAAGTACGTTTTACTTAATAAGGAAGTAAGTTTTAAAGTCATGTTTTTTTGTTTGGTTTGCCAGACGCTCACGTGGAGGTTTTATGTACCGAAAGTGTTTGTTTGCTTGTGATTATTTTATATGGTTTTGTTAGTTGTTGTATTGTTGTTGTTATATCCATAAGCGTCACTGTTATCACATTTTCATCCAGTAGACAGAATGCGAAAGTGCGAAAGTCTTCGTTATCAGCAGAAACTATGGCTCGCGAGAAGAGGGGAAACGATCACTTTCTGTCTGCCGCTCGCTCCGCTCGGCCATTTTGAAGTTCCCTCCCCATCATTGAAGTCCCTTTTTGCGCATTCTTTATCGTAGAAAGAAAGAGAACGAGTCGATTACAAAATAATACCAGCGAGAAGCATTAGTTTTAATTTCAATCAAGACATCGAATGTAAAAATTAAGAGATTTGAAGCCCGCCCTGCTGAGAGAGGGGGGGGGAGGGGTACGATCGCTTTCTGACACGAGGGAAAAGTAATGCCAGTTAAGATCCGACGAAAGAGGCTGAGTATTCAATCAACCCCGTCCATTAATTAAGAAAGGGAGCAAAAGGAAATAATATTTTTAAAAAAGATTTACTGCGAAAAAAAAGAAACTCGAATGATTCAAAGGAGTCGCGTTCCGTGAAAAGTGTATCGAGTCTTGTGTTTAATCTCTCGAACGAAGCAAAGAACCCCAGTGCCAGCTGATCTAATTGAAGAGCCTAATCTAGCGAAAAGAATCTCAGCGCGAGAGCTAGCGAAGAGTAAAATCAAGCGAAGAGGAGGAAAATGAGAGAGAGAGTAAAACCAAGCGAAGAGAAGGAACATCAGAGAGAGAGAGAGAGAGAGAGAGAGAGAGAGAGAGAGAGAGAGAGAGAAGAGAGAGAGAGAGAGAGAGAGAGAGAGAGAGAGATAGGCAGAGAGCTAGTGTTACACCCTAGTGGAAGGGGTCGGTCGGAAACGTGTGATAAAGTGTGAAGTATAATCCGTTTGACGAGACGCGGTTCGGATAGGCCTAGAGGTTGTTTGTGTTCGAAACCCGAGTGCGGATTAGTGTGGATCTCTGTGCGGTTATGAGGGCCCGTCGAGGCTTTTTGGGGGGGTGGGGGGGAGGGATAGATGGACGGGTAGCTACCACTGGTTGAAGGAGGACATCGGTCGGTAGGAAATGTCGAGAAAGGATGACAAGGTTGGTAGAGTCACCGAGGAAGGGTGAGTAAGGATGTCGAGTCGAAGGATAAGGATGATTTTTTTTTTTTTTCGTATTTGTCAGTTATCGAGATTGGATAACGGCGTGTAGGATACGGTAGGATGCAAGAGGAATGTCAGATAAAGATAAGTGTGAAATGGAATATACATATATCAGAGCTAGAAAAAACGCGGGAACCCTTTATGTAGAGTAACAGACGGATAAACATAGATTTAAAAGGACCAGGCGGAACGAAAAGGGTAAATAGATGTAACAATAGCGGATAGCGTTTCAAAGGATAAAAGGGTGACTCGAAATGTATAGATTTATAATGGATTGTTGGATAGGTAGATACAGATAAAAGAAACTGGAAATATGTTTTACCGCATATCATTAGAGTATTAGAGTTGATATATGTTTTTGATAATTTTGTGTTATTCATTCATTATGATATGTTATGTTTTCCCTCGGTAAATCGTTTGTTTATATGGATGTGTGAAGTTCTTCGTTTTCTCATATTGCTAGCAAATTCCTTTTTTCCCCAAGTAATTTCACTTTACCTTTTTGAATGTTTGCTATGAGTAATCGTGCTGCAGTAAGCGTTTTTTATAAAAGAGTCGACCCCGTTGGTTAAGGTCACAGAGTTCAAGAGGAAAGTTTTATCAACAGCACTATTATCCTCATCGGTGGTGCTGTCAATGTCATTTGCCTTTTATCATACTACTATTACTACTACTACTACTATTTTTATTTATTTTTTATTATTTTTATTTATCATTTTATTATTATCATCATTATACTTTACTATCGCTACTACTACTACTACTACTACTACTACTACTACTACTACTACTACTACTACTACTACTACTACTACTACTACTACTACTACTACTACTACTACTACTACTACTACTACTACTGATATTAATACAACTACTACTCCTATTGCTACTACTACTACTACTGCTACGACTGATATTACTACTACTACTACTATCATAGCCGCCATTGTTGTTGGCATTATTATTACTACTACTATTGTTATGATTTATTTATAGTTCTACTACTACTACGACTTGTTTGATTATTATATTCGTAACGAGTGGATAAGTAAAATTATACAATTGAACCTCTCTCTCCTCTCCTCTCCTCTCTCCTCTCCTCTCCTCTCCTCCTCTCCTCTCCTCTCCTCTCCTCTCCTCTCCTCTTGCCTCTCCCTCTCTCTCTCTCTCTCTCTCTCTCTCTCTCTCTCTCTCTCTCTCTCTCTTCTCTCTCTCTCTTCCTCTCTCTCTCTCTCTCTCTCTCTCTCTCTCTCTCTCTCTCTCTCTCTCTCTCTCATTTACATGTCAATTTTTGCAGTACTTGATGTGATCATGCAGCCTCTATGTAGTCGTTAGGTCACGTATCCAGATTGCCAGTCTCACCTACCGGTCGTACACATGGACACATATCGTACTTACATACGATGCGACGATCCTTACACATTGTTAAAAGCGGTGATGGTTGTTTGTTGCGTTAGGAGCTGTTGGTGTAGATAAGCTATGTTGTTTGTAGCTTTTCTTATTTATTCGTATATTTTGTGTGTGTGTGTGGGTGTATTATAAGTATTTTTTATTTATTCATTTTTTTATTGATTAGTTTTTTTTGTTTGTTTGTTTTTGTCATCAGCGACAGTATTATTATTTGTAATTTTGAGCCGCGTGTTGACGATCATCATTGTTACTTTTGCTCTTGTTGTTGCTTCAGTATCCAAAGTTCGGCAGATGGACGGTGTGCGATCACCTTTGCTAGTGCTTGTTTTTTTCTCGTTTTAGCTGTGTTTTTTTTTTTTACCGGCGTGTATTGGAGACAGAGAGAGTGTGAGTGTGTGAGTGAGTGAGTGAAAGAAAATAGAGCATATAGTTACACCTGATTACTAACGGTCGTACACAAAATTGCAAGTGCTGTATTCGTGTTTACTAAGTTATATATTATTAACGAGATTTCTCTGTATTACTGTTACCTAATAAATTATATATTTGTCTTTATTCTTAAAAGTATTGGTTTCGTATGTGCACTATGAGGCTTTGTTCATAAATTTTTACTTTGCTCCGTGCGGAGGTGCGTCAGTTTGTGTGTGTGAGAGAGAGAGAGAGAGTGAGTGAGTGAGTGAGTGAGTGAAGTGCGCGCGTGTGTCTGTGTGTCTAAGTGTCTTCTTCCACCCAAGTGCAAATATTTTCCGCGAAGGATTGGCTAAGACGGATCGTGTGCTTTTCCGGCGACGCTTTGCAGTGGCTCTAAAAGTGTTGTGTTGATTTTATTGCTTTCATCATGACCATTATCATTACTTGTATTCCGCTTGAGTTGAAAACTTTTTTTCGGTTTATTTTTATCATTATTATTAAGATTACAGTTCCTGTTTTTATTATGACTATTGTTAACATCAGTATTATTATTATTGTTAACATTACTTTCATCTGTTGTTATCACTATCATCATCATTATTATATAGTTATAATTATCGCTATCGTCATCGTCGGCGACCACTTGTCTAACGTTCCCTTCCTTGTTCCTTCGGCAGAGGCGGCGGTGAGGACGGAACTCATGGAACAAGTACCCCAGATCGCGGTGCTGTGCCACGAGTACCCGGAACACCTGGGCGGGGTCGTGGCCAACAACCTGGTGCCCATGGTAGTCAAGTACCTCACAGACCCCAATAACCAGGTGAGAAACGGATGGTAGTGGAGGGGTAGGGGTAGGATGGGAGTGGGTTGGGTGGAGGAGGTGGAGGGGTTGGGGTAGAAGGGGGGAGAGGGGAGTAAGGAAAAGAGAGAGGGAGGGGGGAGAATGGGAGAGAGAGAGGAGGAAGTAGAAGAGGATTAAGGAGGAGGAGAGAGGGGTGGAGGAAAGGGGGCAAGAAAGAGAAGGAGGGGGATTAGAAGAAAGTGGAGACGGGAAAAGGAATTGGTAGAATTGAAAGGAAGATGAAAGAAAAGAGAGATGGGAGGGAGGAGGAAGTAGTTACAGAGAAGGGGGCAATATCAGGGTCTTTGTTAGTGCTTGTTATTGTAGTTGTTGTCTTAATGGTTTAGGTCATCCATTATATTAACGATTAGAGTTGTTGCTACTAAAGTCATGATCACTTGCCGTTATTTTTCCATCGTGTGTGAAATAAACTCTTATTTTCCGCGAGTTTTATGATTAGGAAGATGTTTTAAGGCATCCATTGCTAACGAGAGGAGAAAAACAAGTAGTTGATAAAGCTGACGGCAACAGAGACTACAATAACTGACTATAACGAAAACACAGAAGGATAAGGGTGATCATGTGAAGCCTTGTGATGTGTAGAAACATTGAGGAGGGTATAGCTTTTTTTGTTGTGATGTGCGGAAAGTTATCAACTAGGGCTGTTTATTTGCTAAATTATTTTTGTATTGCTGTTTTTTTCTTGTAATTTTTGGTACTTTGTTCCTTGTCACTTTTCGCCCTACTCAGGATGGATGTTGGCGCTGTTGGTCTTGCTTGAGTATTATTATTATTAGATCTTGTTAATTGTAATTATAATCATTATTGTTGCCATTGTCAATTATGATAATTTTAGCCGATAGTATAATTTTTATTCGTTATCTTGATCACCTCTATGCATCTATCTTCATTGTATCTTTACCTATCTTCATTATATCTTTATCTATCTACAGTATATCTTTATCTATCTACAGTATATCTTTATCTATCTTCATTATATCTTTATATATCTACAGTATATCTTTATCTATCTACAGTATATCTTTATCTATCTTCATTATATCTTTATATATCTTCATTACATCTTTCTCTATCTTCTCTATGTCTTTACCCATCCCTTCTTCCTCCGTCAGGTTCGCAAAACATCCCAGGCGGCGCTGCTGGTTCTGCTGGAGCAAGAGCTGGTGTCCCGCTCGGACGTGCACGACCAGGTGTGCCCCGTCATCCTGGACCTCACCTGCCCGGATGCCATGGACGACTTCAAGACAGAGGCCGTGGCGGTGAGTGGAGGAGGAGTCGCTCCGTTACTTTCGTTTAAAAAAATATATATAGATATATAAGATATATGAGGGTGGTGTAGATTTGATTTTAAAAAGAGATTGATTATTTTTTGTTTCTCGTTTGGAGAAGGGAAGGTTGATAGAAAGGGGAAATGGTTATTTTTCGTTTGATAAAATGATGGTGTATATAAATAAAGCCAAAATATATAACTATAAATCAAAACCAAAGTTTTTTTCATAGGTTGATTTCTTATGTGTTTTACGATAAAGACGTAACCGATGAGTCACATTCGGTATTTGCTTTATTTACTTTACTCTATCTCAAGTTTTTAAAAATATATGGTTGAGTTAAGGATAAATGGCTGTTATATTTTCTTCCTGCCATGGTATTATTATTCAAATGGCCTCGAGCTGTACAGGAGTAAATGAGTTGGGGAAAAAGAAGGGTGGGGAAGGAGAGAGAGAGAGAAAGAGGGGAGAGGGGAGGGTGGTAGGGGTCAGGTCAGGTCAACCGGATGTGGATTGAGGGCGTGAGAGAGAAAGATAGAGACAGTGGGAAGCGAGGTCAGGTCAGGTTCCCCCGAGTCACGTGTAAAAGAGGTTGACGTGGCATCGCGAGTGGGGAGGCAGAAGAAGGGGTGGGGGGGTAAATGAATTTTAAGCCGATGGAAGATCATATATTTGGAGAGTGTGTGTGTTTGTTTAAGGGGGCGAATGAAACATGTGTTGTCTTTAATACCTCCTTTAGGCGTTGAAGGAAAGGAAGTCAAGGGGGCTGGTTTCTCCATATTTTCTTGGTTGGTCCTGATTGTAACTTTTGTTTTCTTTAACGTGGTTACTGAAGGTGCTATTGTTACTTTCAGATCCATTTTTTATCAGAGGATCTGCACATGGCAATAAAAAGCGACCGAGGATACTTTTTATATTCTTCTAGTTGTCTTGGGTATTGTCTTTCGTGTGATTTTTTTTGTTGCATCATCCGGGTCTTTTCTCCGGTTGAGCAATTGAAAGTTACCATGGTTTAAAGAGAGCTGGTTAGATAGTGTGGGCCAGGAAAATAGTATAGTTTTAATTTTATGTCGATTTGGCGAGAGTAAAGAAAGGTGCATTTGCATGAGTGTTTGTGATCGTTTTTTTCTGAGGCGACACAGGTATGCGTTGGTAGATGATGTCTTTCGGTCTATTGTGCGTTCGGTTCCCGGCATCTGGCCTGCATCAGTTGCATAACTCCGCCATTGAAGTGTTTCTGAGAGGACGTCTTAGCGTAGCGGCAAGAAGGAACCGTGCGTCGCCACGCCCACGGCGGGGGCGCTGTGAAAGACATGGGTAGTGAGATGTAAGACATGGCAACATCTCACTACCTTGTCTTTCACGGGGCTCGCCGTTGCCTCTTCCAGCGTGGTCGTCGTCTTCGTCGTCTAGTCGTCAGCTGGCCCGCGTCGTCGACTTCTACCTCCGGTGGTCACGCTTGGCCCCTTTTCTATAGATGGAGAGAAAGAGAAAGGTAATTGGCCCGAAGGAGAGCTCGTGGTCGCCCGCGTGAGGCCGAGCGCCCGAGGAGCCGCCTGCAGAAGAGGAGCGTCGGGGCTGAGCGCGAGAAGGCCGACCCGTGCGGCGGGCTCTGGCATCAAACTGGTTTGTCATAGCTCGCTGATCGCTATACTATCACAGCCAGCTTTGATGAGCAGGGCCCGCCGCCCTTTCGCTCCCTCCCGGATGGGTGCGCGACGCCCCTTTCCCGCCCACGCTCCGCCCACGCCCGCGCTCTGGCACCTGCTGTGGATGGCGGGCGGGGCGGCCGATTACCTGAACAGCGTTTTTATTGTGTTTATTATTTGTTCTCATTTTTCCGTGGGAGTGTCGGGTGATTAGGCTTAGGCAGGAGGACTGAAGCTGCTTTCCCTTTTTCCCGGTTTCCCTGCGCGGGAGAGAGGAAGGGGCACGCTACAGGGTATCACTCACACACACACACACACACACACACACACACACACACACACACACACACACACACACACACACACACACACACACACACACACACACACACACACCGAAACGAACTCACACACACACCGAAACGAACTCACAGAGCGCCCAACCTACCTACCTACCCACCTACCTACGTGACTCCCCATCAGCGGGGGGGGGGGGTCGTAGCTACAGCGGAATGAGCGAGAATGGGAATGGGCGTCAGGTTGTATTGATCCTTGGGTTGGTGTCGTGGTTTGGCTTAGGCCGACCGCCCGCCTACCTCCCCTGGCGGCCACGTGGGCGGAATACTGATGATCATTTCATCTTCACGCCCCGCGATTCTTCCTCCTCTGCGTCTCTTGTTTCCCCTCCCGCCCACCTCTTAACCCTCGTCCTCCTCCCACGCCCATTCCTAGTCCTGGCTCCCTTTCGATTCCGAATAGGCCGCCCTTGCCTCCCTCCTCCTCCTCTTCCTCCTCCTTTTCCACCTCCTCCATCTCTCTCTCTTCGTCGTAGTTGTCCTCCTCCTCCTCCTCCTCCTCCTCCTCCTCCTCCTCCTCTCTCTCTCCGTCTCGTCCTCCTCCTCCTCCTCCTCCTCCTCCTCCTCTCCTCCTCCTCCATCTCTCTCTCCGTCGGCGTTGTCCTCCTCCTCCTCCTCCTTTTCCTCTTTTTCCCCTCATTCCTCTCCTCCTCCCTTCTTCCAGTCCCTCCATCCCTCCATTCGCCCTTACCTCAGACCCCACTCACCCTCGCCCCTCCCTCGCCCCCTCCGCGCTCTCTTTCCGATCTTCAAATTACGAACTTCCTCCTCCGACATTATAGTTAGGTGCTAAGGATACACACATGTGTAGAGCGTAGTTAGGTAAGAATTGAAGAGGCGTTCAAGAGATGTAAGAGAAAAGGAAGGGGGAAGGAGAGAATAGAACAAGAGCGAAAAGGAGATACAAGAGGCAAGAGGAAGATTTCTTCTCTCCGCTGTAAGACGGAGGGAAAAGGAAGGAGAACGAGAGACCCAAGGTGGTGGAAGGAGAAGGAAGAAAATCTCCGAAAGTATGATTGATGAAAGAAGAGAGAAGAAACGGAATAAGAAGAGGGTAAATGACGGACGTAAAACGAGAGGCGCGTCCTCCTGTTCTTCGCCGGAGCCGCCATCGGGAGTCCCCTCGGGCGCGATCCGGAGGCGTTGCGGGAGCCGTCAAAGTGGGTGTGACGCGGAGAATGGACGTCGTATCACAGCCACCTTTGATGAGCTCGCGTCGTCTCCACCTGCAGCGTGTGCGCCTTCTACGCCTCCCATGCCGCCTTCTACGCCTCCCACGCCTCCCATGCCGCCTTCTACGCCTCCATGCCGCCTTCTACGCCTTCCATGCGCGCCTGCCGCCTTCTACGCCTCCCATGCCGCCTTCTACGCCTCCCATGCCGCCTTCTACGCCTCCCATGCCTTCTACGCCCATCTACGTCTGCTACGCCCCACGCGCTCTTCGCCGCGTCTCCATTCGTTATATTTGCGTCGGCCTTGTGCGCTCCAGCTCGACGTCGACATTTTTTCGAGCGAGGTCTGTCCTTCCACGGCGTCTTCGTGGAGGCGAACCACCTGCAGAAATCTTGGAGGAGGGAATCTTGGCGTTGGTTTCCTCGCGACGAGAGGGTCTTTTGTGCCGATCTTTCTTTCTTTCTTTTTTAACTATTCATCTTTTCCCCTCTGTCCGTTTACTTTTCTTTCTCTCCCTTTTTTCTCCGTCCATTCCACGATCCATTCGTCTATTGATAGGTTTTGCTTTCATTTGGTGTTATTTTTGGCCCATGATCTGATATCCCCTTCTTTGCATGCTCGGGTGGCGAATGAATGCTAAAAATATGAGCTGAAAAGAAAGGACGCGTATTAGGGATAGAACGCGAGATCCTGCTAAAGGTTTTTTTCGTTTTTGTTTTCCTCAAATCATCTGATTTTCCCTGGCGTCTATCTTCTCGTCCTCCTCTCGTCCTCTTCTATACCTCGTGAAGGTTAGAAATATTTTTAAAGATTTCTTTGTTTCCCATCTTCTATTTTTACTTTTATTTTTTCGCGCTCTTTAATTAGTTATTCGTAGTGTGTTTCGTTGCTCTCTCACCTTACAATAACACTCCATTCCATTCTTCCCATCTCTCCCTCATTCCCTTCTTCTCTCTTCATCCACCTCCTCTCCCTCTCTCTATCCCCTTCTCTTCCCCTCTTTATCCCCTTTCTCCCTTCTCTTACCCATTTCTCTCCCCCCCTCTTCTATTTCCCTCCCAAATTTTCCGCCTTTTCTCCTTTCTCCCCCCTCTCCTTGTCGTTCGTTGTCGCCAGTATTCTTTTTTTCCGCCGTCGTTCGGTGTTCTTCCGTCGAGATGAGCCAGTGGCAAAGCCGTTAAGTTTGCTGTGGTGTGAAGTACACAGCATATCACAGCCTACTTGACGAGTTTTGACGCTGGCAGAGGCTGCTGATGCTGCGGTGCAGTCGGGCTTGCTGCTGATGGTGAGGGTGATGCCGGTACTGATGTTGCTGTTGATGGTGGTGGTGGTGATGCTGATGGTTTTGACAGTGGCGATGGTGATGGTGGTGGTGATGGCGCTGTCATTTCTACCGTTGCATTCTGTTCCGGTGAGCTCTCTGCCTCTTTTCTTTTCTTTTAAGGTAGTGTCTTTTGTTGATGATGATGGGTCGATAGACTGACGTATGGATTGATTGAAATGTTTTTTCTTTTTTATGGGTGAAGGCTGTCTTTTATGTTATTACTATTTTCCATTGTTTTTTATCCACGCCACATAGGAAGAGCTGTAGGTTTATATCTGTATTTACGGAGAGTTTTATTCGAGTGTATATTGCTATCTCTCGAGTTTTTACGTTCTAAGCCCTAGGGCGTGGCGATGTGTAAAGAGGTTTGGTGTTGATTGTTATTGTTAATATATTTCTTGTGTCTTCGGCAAAGCAACTACAACTTGTTTTTTGTGTTTATTTTAGTGTACTCTTTTTGTAAAGACTTTTTTTTTTTGCTTTCATTTA